GTAAACAGCGCTTATTTGTAAACAACCACCGTTTTTACAGAGGTATTTTAGATAACAATCGATATTTAGGAATGTTTTGACACTGTAGCATTAGGAGTTATAAAAAAAGATGGACTGTTTTTTTATAAGAATTTCCTTTTGGAAAAATATTAAAACAACTAACACTATCCGACGGAACTGTTCGCCGGTGAGCAATGGGTCGTAAGCTAGTGAAAATTAAACTGTGATACTTACGTCTTTATAAGATACTGGGCGCCACTTAGTTTTCCATTTACTTTCGAAAACTTTTAAGTTGAAAACTGAGAAATCAACTCAGAATATAGGAATTACTTATTTTAGGAATTACACAAATGAAACGCTGAGATAAACTAATAACTAATAAGTAAATATAGTTAAGTATAATTAATAATTAAATGTAAAATAGAATAAAGTAAAAATATGGAAAGATTTGGTGTTTGAAAATATTTGTTGGTAAAATGAATCTATAAAAAAGATTACTCAAAATGGTAGTTAAATCTGCATGCTTCTGAATATTAATATTTTATTAATTATTCCGCATAAAGTTTGGCGATCTTGGAACCAAAATGTAGGGACTCTTTATATTCAATAAAAAACGTATTATGTGAATATCAGAAATATGCATAACATGTGTAAAATATATCAAATTGAACTCTAAAGTAATTAAATATATAATATGCCTGAAGGGCTTAATGAATTCAAATGAACTTAAATTATATAGATATAAAATCAAATGATCTGGCCTATAAAATCAAATGATCTATCCGTGCTGGTCACAAGCTGGTTGTGGTGAACTGCAACTGGAACTGGATTGTGGTATAAGATGTTTCTGGATAGATAGGTTCGAAAACGTGTGTGGATTCGGAAGATTCCTCCGTTATTCCCGGTGTGAAATGTAGTGACAAAACGTGGACCAAATGTCAGGTGCAAAAAAGCCAAAATGGCATCAGAAAATAAAGCAATCATAAAATGCCTTACAATAAAATTCTGCCGTAAACTAAAATGTTACCCTAATCTAAAACCCTATACAAAGAAAAAAAAAAAGGTATTAGGAAACGTTACTCAACGTTACGTTTAAAATAAAGATCTTACGTGTTCTCAGAGGGTTTTCCCACACAAATTGGCAAAATTCCAAAAAAAAAACGCCGATAGTTCTATCGGATTCAACTTTAGCCACCAATATGGCGATAAAGTTAGGCACGAGGTATATACCTATACCGTCAGAAATAAAGTAACAACATCTTTGACCGGACTGAAATAAATAACCAGAAATAAACTTGAACAAAAAATAAAAGATAATAACAATACTTAGAATGCCATCTCGGTGCGAGGACTTAAACTTGAATTATTCAAACAAAATAATTCTGTACCTTTATATTGTGAGACCCCCCGTTTTAGAGAAAGGTCACGGACGCAGAGTTGCCTTGGTTCGGTTCCTCGGGCGCCATCCCAATGTTTAAAGTGTTTGAGAGAACACTAGTGCCAATACGGGTAGCTTTTATACAGTGGAGATACCAAGGTGTGATGAGATGAAAAGAAAATAAAACACACAATTAACTATAACGTATCACTAGGTTTTTATTTAACTAATCAATTATGTACAAAAGTAATCAAAGCAAGTTCGCGTTCTTTAATTGTAACAATAATAAGAATAAAATAAATATTTAGTACCTCGCAGAACAAAATTTACACTAACAACCGTGCACCTCTAGAGTTTCGATCGATTATTCCCGAGATGCAACTCTCTGACTGATTCTATCATGCGAATTCAAAACGCGTTCCCGAAATGACGTTCTATTAAATAAGACGACGCGAGTTCCTTATCGACGTCGAATTTAGCGGCGTCCTAATGAACACAGACACGTAAGTACCGGAGCAACATACTCTACTATGACGCGACTCTCTAAACGGCGGCGACGTCGTTACAGGCGTCCCGATGGTCACAGCTAAACATTTCTTGGAACGGCGTCCGTTTTGGCAACGTAACACGAACCTCGGATCGGCGTCGACGTTAAAAGCGTCCCGTGATACCCAAACGCGAGTCCTGGATTGATCGCGAAATTAACAGCGTCCTGTGGGATATACACACACGCGAGCCGTGGATCGATCGCGAAATTAACAGCGTCCCGAGGGATAGACAAATGCGAGCCCTGGATCGATTGCGAAACTAACAGCATCCTGTGGGATATACACACACGCTAGCCCTGGATAAATCGCGAAATTAACAGCGTCCAAAGGGATACACAAACGCGAGCCCTGGATCGATCGCGAAACTAACAGCGTCCTGTGAGATATACACACACGCGAGCCCTGGATAGATCGCGAAATTAACAGCGTCCCGAGGGATACACAAACGCGAGCCCTGGATCGATCGCGAAACTAACAGCGTCCTGTGGGATATACACACACGCGAGCCCTGGATCGATCACGACGTTAGCGACGTCTCGGCGAGCTGTACGTCGTTTGGATAAGCGCAGCCCGCACACACACCGCCCGGTCAGGACAACCTCGGGATCGTCCGGACGACACACCTAGAAAAATACGGGAGCTACAAAACCAGCCTCGTGATTAGGGCGAAGTCTTGTTTTAGCTCCGTGAACATTCGCGACCCGTGTGTTTACTGCACTACCTTGCCCGTTATCTGTCTCACTCTCCTTCCTTTCTCTAACAAAAGAAATCATTCCTTGCGTCCACGTGATCCGATCAACCAGGCCCCTACCTTCTAAGAGGACTGTTGGCCCACCTGAACGAATACAAGTTTTGCTAGCTTTCCGTGTTCGCGCGTTCCGGTCAAATATCCCCCCACCTCGCTAGAGGACGGTTGGTCTACCTGAGCGAATATAACTATCTCTGTCTCCCTTATCCCTGTAACGCGTCAAGGCAGTAAAATAAACGGTATTAACAATAAAAAGAATACAACCTACTCTCGATCACGTCGGCGGTGGATGCTTACCTTATACAGTACGGCGGCAGGCGGCTGGCAGCAGGGCACTTGGCAGGGCACTCCGGACTCGAACCTCACTGTTTCACGTGTGACGACAAACTGTCCCTCTAGAGCTGCTGTAGCCGAGGTACTCGACTGACGCTCCCCTCCACTCAACCTGCACTGGTAGGGAGAGCGGCGCAAACGTCTCGGTTTCTCGCACCGAACCACAGCGACCAAAACTGATCAAAACTCTCTTACAAAATGGCAATTAAATATTTAACTTATTTAATTCAACAATAGAAACACTAATGAAGTTCATTACAATAATGAGTTAACAATAAAATACATTCACTGTCATTATTAAAAAAAATAAAGTCCCTATTATTCTAGTATAATATTAACACAATATACAGGGTGTCCTAGAAATTTTATGAACTTCATTACAATATTAATTATGTGAATTTTAAATAAAATGCTACATTGCCACTCTCCAAAAAAAAATAAAAAATTAAAGGATATACAGATTTTAAATTTTTTATGAAACAAAATATTCACCCAGATCAATATTCAAACAATCCACCAAGAAACATTATCAAAAATAACCGGTGAGATAATAAATCAAACCAGGAAAGAGCTTTAGATAACCTAAAAACTTTAGGTAACTACTGATTAAAGAAAAATCCTAAACTACGAAACAACCCATCATCCAATGATAATAGCTTAAAGAAAGAAAATAAAAACAATATTCACTAGTCATTCAGTTATTTCAGCTTCGATAGCTACGCGTATCTCGTCCATCAAGGAGTCAAAATAGAAAGGTCAAAATTGGGATAAGTCAAAATCGGGATAAGTCAAAATCGGCAAGTCTACTAAAAAACTGGATAACACAAAACTACAACTATGAGTTAAGGTTAGCCTGGAGGAGCCAAGAATAGTGAAAAGTTATGTAAAAAAGCAAATTACCGCTTTGGTAATTCCATAGAAACAAAAAAAATTGTTTCGACGAAAAATACGAACACAAACAAAAGATACTTCGACAAAACACTTCCCCAGCAAGGATGAACCCAAAAACACGCGAAGAAAACCAACCAATGTCGAAGATTTAAGCGGTCTGAATTTCAGAGTAATTTAAATAAATCTACTCTGGAGATGATAAGTGAAATCCAAGCTAGTACTGAGCGATATTCATCTGTAGAAAGTCCCCTCGATTACTAACCTCGAGTAGATATTCCACAAAGGCAGGCACCTCCCCGAACACAATTCAGCAATCCAAACCAAAAAAAAATGCTATGTCCAAGGTGGGAAACAAAAAACCAAAAAAAAGGAAGAGAAAGAGAGAGAGAAAGGTAACCCAAACGTTCCACAATCAAGAGGGAGTGAAATATAGTTTCCACCAGACTGAAAACCATAGAAATGGCACTAGGAAACCAATTACATTTAGTAGGTACTCGTATGGCCAAGTTATCAGCAGTACCCTCGGACTTGCCCACTAGGGAACTGAGATTGCGCACAGTAGTGCCACCCAACTATTCCTCAGTACATCGAAATGTCTGTAGCCAAATACCCCCCAATACGAATCCTTCCACGCTAGCAGTTTGTGACTACAAATCCGGAAGCTACTGACACTATCGTCATCCGGCCTAATTCACAAAAGAAAAGCAAAACGTCCTAGGTACGTTAAATAATGAGTATTACAGTACTCATAAAATACTCAAACGGAGGTATCAAGAAACAAAGGTAACGAAAGGTAGCTAGATCTAAATCGACTGACTTAATGAAATTTGTTAAGAAGTGTTGTTTAAGAAGTGTTGTGTCATGTCAACTTGATATTCTGATTTGAAACCATTATTATATGAACGAAAAATTGCTAGTCATTAGGTATCTCTAAATTGATAAATATCTGTCTTAAGTGTGTCGTTAGATTTTATCAGTAGTATTGCTTGTTATATTTTAATAAAAATATTTCGTTGGATTTCAGTTACAATTGTAGTGGCAAAATGAATTCTAAGGCCTCCTTAGCAATAGTTACTGTTTTAGTTGGATGTATGCTAAATAATGTCTTCCCCTCGAGTACATTATTAAGTGAGATTATTATTAAGATATTAACAATGTTTCAGTTATCACATATTTTGGTTTCCGGCTTTAGATTGGATGCTGGTGCGGGACACCTAATAACCTTTCTGCAGTTCCTTTTTATTGCTGTTCGTGGGTTTTTTTACCTCTAAATTTGGTGCAGTAAATCCAAAAGTACCCCTGAAAGATTATTTGACTCTTGTTTTATTTTTCTTCGTGACAAGTGTTGTAAATAATTGGGCTTTTAATTTTAATATACCAGTACCACTTCATATCATTTTCAGAGCAGTAAGATTAATTAAAGCTGTACTTAAATTATTCAATTAAGATTTGGTAAAATTATAGGGTTCTTTGATAACAAACATGATAATGGGTATATGGATTTTAAAGAAAAAGTACACATGGGATAAATATTTATCAGTGTTTATGATAACATTAGGGATAATTATTTGTACATTATATTCTTCGAAAGATGTGAGAAAGATACTATTATGAATTCAAATGATTACCTATATTAAAAAAAAATCTTAACAATATATACAAAACATTGCAGATATGTAATAACTGTGATAATAATAATAATAATCCTATATCAAATGATAAAACTATTAAAGCCCTATGGAAATTGATTCAAATCAATTCTTTTGGTGTGTCATTGGAATTTTACTTTTGACTGGTGCTTTGTTGTTATCAGCCAGGATGGGTATTTATCAAGAAAATTTGTATAAAATTCATGGAAAACACCCTGAGGAAGCTTTGTATTACACTGTAAGTTTGATATTACAACATATTTTATATTTTACTGTATTTCAGCATTTCTATTCACTCCCAGGATTTTTAATTTATTCAAGCAGTATTTGGGAGCATGCGGTCGAAATCACTAGCAGTGATCCATTTAATATTCCTTTTTTGAACTATGCAGTTTCAGTTATTTGGATCTATTTAATTTTAAATGTTTTGACTCAATATATTTGTATTAGCTCTGTTTATGTTTTGACAACAGAATGTGCCTCATTAACTGTGACTCTTGTTATAACCTTAAGAAAGTTTTTGTCTTTGATACTTTCAATTGTATACTTCCAAAATCCATTTACACTTGCTCACTGGGTAGGCACTGCTTTGGTATTTGCTGGTACTCTACTTTTTGCAGAGATACCAAAACGAATTCTGGATTCTCAAAAGAAAAAGAGCACTAAAGTGGATTAGCTCTCGTCATTGTATATTTTGATCAATAGATAATTATAAAATTATAATTTATTGTTGAAGTAATTATAGTTTTACAATTTTATTAGCCTCATTTTATTTATTTTTGCTAATATATAATTGTTGTATATGTTGATATATCTTTTAATAGTTATGGAATATAATTTTTAAACAACATATGTTTATATTGGTATTAATAGCAAATTGAGTTATGTACTGAACCTTCACCATTTCATGTTCACTATTAATATGTACTTAAATCCTTAAATTCCACATAATCTATTCTTTTAAATATTTAAACGAAATTATCATTTTTACATTAATAAGCTATTTTATCCTGCGCCATTTTAGAGATTATTATTATTAAACCATACAACACAATACAAACGCGAAGATGTTTAAATCTCCCAATAAATTCTACAGCGTTGCCAAGATCCGCTGTTTTTCTTCTATTGTTTTATAAAATTATTGATCCAGAGATTCTGGCACATACTTCGCACGTTTGGAATCAGTAATATATCGCTCAATGACTATCCAGAATCAATTTAGCGCAAGTGTCTGTCAAAACCCAATTATTTACATCCTACTACTAAATATTTTTTGATAGAAGAGTTTTATAAAATAGGAAATAATTTTACCATAAATTAGGAAGAAAATTTTAAGAAAAATCAACATTTTATTACAGAAATTAACAATATAAAGGTAATAGAAATAGATTATACTAAAGTAGACTGATAAATAGAAACACATACAGATAGAGAGGCAGTTACAAATAAGAAATCAGATGAGGGAAAGGCAGGTAGCTTTGGAAATAGCCAGACAGCGCGAGTTATTCTACTGGATGAGTGGCTCCTATTTTACAAGTGTTATAGGATCCGTATATAGGTAACGAAATTTACTAAAACTTGTTTTTGTTTACACTGAGCATCCATTAGTTTCAGGCTCAAGAAAAAGCTTTCTTTGCTTGCACCTTTAGTTCCCTTAACATTTTTATACGCGTATCAAGCTGACTTAGCATATGGAAATAAACAGCACAGAATTTTAAGTAAGTTGCTGTTATAAACTAAAGAGATATACAGATTGTAAGAATTTTACTTCAGTTGAAGCTGAGCATATAATGCAGTTTGAAGAGGATTTATTATCGTTGCCTTTAGGAGTGTCTACTGGGTCTTCCATAGATTTAAAAAGAATGCAGAACGACGAACAGAAAAAACTACGTTCTCATTTGTCACCTCTTTGATCTACGACCAAGAGATATTAATGTTAAAATGGTTTTACCATCTTTGAATTTTACGTGCAGGTGCAGAAGACAGATTAAGTTTATAATCAAATTAAGTATAAGAGAATCATTCTGCATGGATTATATACTATGTTAAAATAATTAATATCAGCTATAAAAATAAAGTACAATACGCTAAATCCCAAAATAATAATTTGAGGATACAAAATGCAGCAAATTTATCTAAGGAGTGCTGGAAAATTATAAATGAATCTAGATGTAAGAATGGTTTTACTAGGCATCCCTTAATATTAATTAATGATGATCATGGTAATTTAATTACTAATGATAATATTCATACATGTAACAGTTTTAACACTCATTTTTTGGAAGTCGTAAAAAATTGTCCTGATCCAAATTTTAAAGATATATTTTTTGAATTTGTAGGCCCATCTAGTTTGTTTATTAAGGACATAGACGTACAAGAAACAAGAGAAATCTTAATAAAAACGACAAAAAAATGTTCAGCAGGGATCGACGAAATTCATGGAAAAGCTCTCAGACATGTCACCGACATAATATGTTGGCCTCTTTCGTATTTGATAAATGAATCATTTAAATGTGGGGAATTTCCACAACTCATAAAAGAATCTAAATGTATACCACTTTATAAAGGCAAGGGTGATAATAGAGATAGAAACAATTATCGTTCGATTTGTATTCAGAGTCAAATATCAAAAGTTTTTGAAGAAGCATATTCTAGAAGACTTGTAAATTTTTTAAATAAATATAAGATATTAAATGAAAACCAACATGGCTTCAGGCAGAATAGATCGACACAAACTGCAATTTATGATTGTCTGGAATATATTTACAAATCACTGAATAATCGTGAACATACTGTTGGTTTGTTTTACGACCTAAGCCGAGCTTTCGATAGTATTGATCATAAGCTTTTGCTAGAGAAGTTATATTCTGTGGGAGTACGGGGTATACCATTGAACTGGGCTGCCTCATATTTATCAAATAGAACACAGACCGTTACAGTTAATGGCGCTAAATCTAGTAGAGCAAATATTAACAAGGGCGTTCCTCAAGGCTCTATATTGGGACCTTTGTTTTTTATTATATTTACAAATGATGTACATAAGTGTTTTAATGGTACAGGATATTCTCTTTTATATGCGGATGACACAAATACACTAGTAAGTGATATAGATTTATATAAAATGATTGATAAATGTAATAAGATTTCTAATAATTTTAATAAATATTGCACTAATAACGGCCTTATATTAAATTCTCAAAAGACAGCTCTTATACGATTTCTTCCAAAAAATGTTAGTGTGGACTACAGCCTATATGTAGCAGTTGAAGGACAGTCAATAAGAAATGATAACGTAGTGAAATTTCTGGGTCTTAATTTGGACCAAAAACTAACATGGTCTATTCACATAGATATTTTATGTACAAAACTTAGCAGTGTTTGCTTCTTAATTAGAACGCTACGTACAAATGTTAGTATGGATATACTGAGACTTGTTTACTTTGGCCTAGTACAGTCGATCCTACAGTATGGTCTGATATCCTGGGGATCCTCCTCTCACTTTCAAAAAACTTTCAACATGCAAAAAAAGGTTTTAAGGTATATGCTTAATGTATCACCTGACACAACTTGCAGACCACTATTTAGAATGCATAACATAATGTCACTTCCCAACATGTACATTTATCAATTAATTTTGAATATATATACTAACAGCAATAAGTTTCAATTAAACAGTGATTATCATTCTCATGAGACTAGATTTGCCAGTGATCTACATCTACCATACTCAAGGCTGACTGTGAGTCAGAATGCACCGTCATACTTAGGCATAAAATGTTTTAATAAGATTTCTAAAATTGTGCCCAATATGGATCAGGATAATTACAAAAACAAACTGCGGAGTTTCTTATCGAATAATGTATTCTATTCGGTAAAGGAATTTTTAGATTTTTAGTTAGGTGTAATTTAAGTACTTTTTCCCCTTTTTTTTCTACTTTTTCTCTGACTAGTCTTATGAGTTGCAGAAGTATATATTTATTATATCTGTTTGTATACTCCAACGATGAATAAAGATTTATTTATTTATTTATTTATTTATCACCTCATATCAGAAAGCATTACATATTAGCTTTCGAAGCTGGTGTGTACAGGGTGGGTCAAATTCGACGCTTTTAAATGGAAACACCCTTTTCTATAGGAGATAGACGAAAATTAATATCGGTGTCTGGAGCTCAATTTTTGTCAAAAACAAGATGGTGGAAACCCCATATCGATATCTGTTACCGTTTCAGAGTTACGGGGTGTTTTTTAAAAATATGCATTTTTAAAATCGCTGTAACTTTTTTGCTATGGAAATTTTTTTATTTTTATGAAAACATTTCCAAGGCACCTTTTTACGTAGAATTTAATGGTTTAAGTATATATTTTTTTAAATTAATAATTTAAGAATTATCAACAGAAAATTTGATTTTTTATACGGGACACCCTATATATTTTTAATTTATTGAAAAGAATTTAAAATTACCTTTCCAAAAATATAACACACTTGATATTTTGCTCGATTCCTCTTCGAGATATAGAGTATATAAAAATTCGCCTGCTTTAAATAATTGGGCTTTGAACGGCACCGGCTCTAATGGCAAAAAATTCTAGCTGTGAGCATCAATTAAAACGAAAATAATATTTGCTATGAGAGATGCAGAATTTTATAACAATTTAAAATATATTTAACCAACATCAACACATTTAAACTATATCCTATAGAAATAAATAGCAAACCAAGACATGAGATTTTGCTACAGGTGTTTGACATAACGACCATCTCTGTTATGGACAGGCAGGGCAATTTTTAAACATTTCTCGCGGAATTCATTAACTCAGTGAGGGTGAAAGATACCCTCTCATAACTGCTAAGTATTTCTAATTCTTGTCTAGATTATACGGAAGAATAAGGAACCTTTATTCTTCCGCAAATATATCCATAGGATTAGATCCATGGGCACTAAGTCAGGCGGCCTCGACGGCCAACGGCTGGAATCTTGGTTGGCTATTCAATTATTGTTGAAATTGGATGCAAAAATTTGCTGATAACTTCAGCGCTCAGAGGCGGTGCGTCGTCTTGCTGGAAAAATATGTTTTCGAGTTCCATTAAGGGCATATCATCAATAAGGGGTCCAAAGCCTACTAGTTAAAAGTGGCGAACTTTTAAAAATTCTGTATTTCGAAGGGAATTATAACAAAATATCAAGTGTGCTATATTTTTGGAAAGGTAATTTTAAATTATTTTCAGTTAATTAAAAATATAGAGGGTGTCCCAAATAAAAAATCAATTTTTCTGTTGATAACTCTTAAATTATTAATTTTAAAAAAAAATATACTTAAACCATTAAATTCTACGTAAAAAGGTGCTTTGGAAATGTTTTTATAGAAATACAAAATTTTTCATAGCAAAAAAGTTACAGCGATTTGTTAAAAATGCACATTTTTGAAAAACACCCCGTAACTCCGAAACGGTAACAGATATTGATGTCCGGTTTTCACCATCATGTTTTTGATGAAAATTGAGCACCAGACACCGATATTAGTTTTCGTCTATCTCCTATAGAAAAGGGTGTTTCCATTTAAAAGCGTCGAATTTGACCCACCCTGTACATAATTATTAGTAATAGCGTTGAAAGTTCTGTAATAGTATAAGTGATAATATTAAGTTTTTATTGGCATTTTTTAAAAACCAATTTCAGTAAATTGAATATGTATGTAAATTTACAACAATATGTCCTTGTCAATAATATTTAAAGTATTAAACTACATCCTATTTTGGAGAGTTTGGTTTTATTTATACACTCATTAATTAGGTAAAACTTGATTTTTGAAATGTTTATTTATTTTTGATAATTTAGTTATGGTATTATTTAACATTTAGTATGTATTTCTCAACATCTAATTACAACTAAGTATGACTAATTAAGACACAGTGTTTGAACTACTAATGATGTATTTTTGAAGCAAACATAAGTTAATAAATTCAAGTCAATGTAATGAACACTGTGCCTTCCATTTGGTGTTTAAATGTCTGAAACAAAAAAGAAGTATAAAGTGTGGCATATCGTTGTACTCTAGTAGTGTACGTTGTACTCTAGTACTAGTTCTTTCAAAATCTGCAATAAAAAATGCAGGTCCGTATTTAAAAAAATTAAGTCGGTCTCTGTATCTCATAAATTATCAGCTAATTTGAAAATCTAAAAATACTATCAGATAGCCATAATAAAGTGGCTATGAGAATTTGCAATTAATTTTTTGATTTTCCAAAAACTAACGACAGAAAAAAAATAAAATTGATTTTCATAAAAATCCATTTTTTCCAAAAAACTCAGCAATCTTTGCCCCAATTTAACCGTCTTTGTATCTATTACGGTTACCGAGATACAAATGCTCGTACCTCGAATTTGTAGCACCCTGTATACTATATAATGCAGTATACAATGTAGTTATAAAAATATAGAAATATATAAAAATAAAATTAAATTAATGAGTATCTTTTTGTGATTATTAAACAAAGTAAATTATATAGAGGTTTTTCGGTTTTTGGTTAATGCGGGCCCCAACCTAATTGCGTCAACTCGGAGGCTGACCTGAAGTTGAAATAAGTTACAGTAAAGTGTAAATGATATCACCACAATTGCCATTGGCTCTTACACATACAACATTTATTACTCTAATCTAACACACAATTCGTCTCTAAATTTAAGATGATGTATTTTTACTAGTCTACATCACAAAAAGTGACTTCAGAGTTACCTCACTTAGTTTTAGCACAGATAGTCAACCAGATATCAAGTAATTAAATCTAAGAACCATGTATTGTTGGTTAAGTGCAAATATCTGTCATGTTATCAAATAATCGTTTTACTCTGAATAATTTTAAATTTGTTTTTCTTATAAATACAGGAACCAGCAAATCATATGCTCAATCCACAAATAACGATATTATATACTTTATAATAATTTAAATAAATAGAAAAATAATACTGGTAATAATACCAAAAGCAGTTGAACTTTTAATACACTTTTACGGGCATTGGCATTTGGCAACGTGCCCACTAGGTTCCAATGTACTAAAAAATACCACTGGTTTTGCATAAAATCAAAATTTTATGCGTAAGCAAATTTTAAAAGAGTATTAAAAAAACGGTATAATTATTTTTTTAAATTCAGATGATATTATTACACTAAGTAGATTGCATTTCTTTTAATACCTCTAATATTGCTGATTTTTATGCGTTTAATAAACTCATGTGTAGTACTAAACAAAATCATTTAAAAATCCAACCCTGCTGGCCCTTGAATGTGCTAAATATGTGTTTTTTTTTAAACAATCTCAATATATAACTTTCACTAAATTTCTTAATATTACAACATTGTTCTAAAAACTGAAATATTGTTTAGTTTACTTTGTTATAGACTTTATTTCAGTCGTTAACGCGTCATAGAAATTTTACATCTTATATAATCATTATCTTACATGTGCAAATGATAACCTATTTTTTTTTTAAAGTTAGGCCTCATGTATTGTTATGTTTTGTGTAAATATTAAAAACAAACGATATATTTCAATTAGGAAAGAATAATATTATCTTAGAAAATAAAAAATATCACAGAAGTGGTTTTTAAGTTAATATATTATTAAGTATTTAAGTACCTTAAATTTAATTACATCAAAAATATTCGCCTGGAAGGCTGAAATTTCACGGCGAATATGTTCAACTAAAATAGGATTTTAGCTTTTCTTGATTACGCTATATTCGTGTAATTTTATCAGACAATATATCATATACCCGATAAAATACAAAATACTATCTCAAATGCCTTTTGCATTAGAAATTTCATCATTTACTATCAGTGGCGGACTCACGACTAGCTTTAAAAATGTCTGTATAATGAAAAGATATATGATTTTGAATAAGAGATGCAGTGTCCCTTATTTTCCTTTTTACACGAAACAGCCAAATTATTATAATCAATCAATTAATTCGAATCATAATAGAAAAAATATAACATTTTAGGTAACAGTTACTTCTAAAAATATAATTTAATTAAAAATTAACTTTAATATACATTTCGTTGTTCATATTTTTTGCAAATATCGTTGCAAGTTTTGAAAAGGAAAAAATGAATTTGACAGTGCAAAAAAAGCAAATAGAGTTCAGATCAACTTTAGGTGTGACATAAAATTGTAAATATTAATAGAATTTGTTTAGATAGTAAAATTAGGATTAAAAAATGTAGGCCCTTAGACAAAATTCTGAACCTTTTTCTGAAAACCCTAAATCCGCCACCGGTATCGATATTCTTCAATCTACTATGTTAAACTACCTAATAATTAACATGTTACACATTACTATCTGGGTTTTTATTATTATTTGTTTGATGTACGTTGTATTATAAGCCCCTGATTTAATTATCAATTTTCGATTGATTCAATCACTGAGAGAGATATTTTTATAAATAATAATTAAGAAAAAATTAATTATCATCAGACATAATGATTGTAATATTACTCGATGGAGATTGATCTGTAAGACCCTGATGGAGTGTATACTTAACTTGGGGCTCCCTAAATGATTTCTTCTTCACAGGCTTTGGTGTATTTCGCTTCAAAAAAGACACACTGTCGAGATCTTGGTTGCTAGAGGTGCTTGTCATTACTTCAATATTATTACGTCTAGTTTGTTTTGTTCTGCTATTTCCAAAAAAGCTATGTATAATTTATTTGTAAGTATATTGACAGGTGTTCTTAATTGGACCCACTGTAGCAAATAGAGCACCCAAGAAAAAAGTGGCGTAGATCCAGCTGACGACCATTACGAGGATCATAAACAAACCGATTTGGTAATACGGCAATATCAGGGAAAACATCATAAAAAATCCGGCAGCAGCTGTTGTCAACGCAGCCATAAAACAAGGTCCCATGAGATGAGATAATAATAATAATAATAAATAATAAAAATATTTATTTCAAAAATGATCTAAATATGTACAATAAAATTACAAATATATAGACATATTGAAATATTGTCAGCGGTGAAGAGACTTTTATATTAAGAATTCATTGATTGAATAGGGTTCCAATTTAATTAAGAGTTTTTTCAACGATTTCTTATAGGTTTCTTGACTTTCGATTGCTTTTATGTCTTCAGGGAGGCTATTGTAAAACTTTACACACATGTATACTGGATTTTTTTCAGTCAGGGTAAGACGATGTGAGGGGAACTTGGCATCACTGGACCTTGTTTGGTATTCATGAGATTTTTCCATTTCAAATAGGGACTTATGTTTGAAGATGAATATTAAACACTCATATATATAAAGAGCTGGAAGCGTCATAATTTCGAAGGATTTAAAGTGTCCTCGACAGCTTTTTTTGTACTGAAGTTTCTTTATAAGTCTTATAATTCTTTTCTGAATCACAAAAATTTTTGCATTGATCCCCATTTTGAATTTGATCCCCAGAGAATAATTCCATATCTCAGCAGTGCCTCAAAATTTCCACAGTATAGTGTTTTCATTGAGTCTGGGTTCACATAACTTGACACAATTCTCAGACCGTAGGAAATTGTGCCAAGTCTCAAGCACAGCTTATAAATATGTTGGGTCCACTTTAAGTGCTCGTCTATGTAAATACCCAGAAATTTGCATTCACCACCAAGGCTGACATCCATTTCTCCAATTTTCAAATTGCTCGCTAATTCAATTTTCTTCTGTTGTGTTCGAAAAATTAGAGTATTAGTTTTTTCTTTATTTAGCATTAGTCTATTTGTCTCAAACCATTCCTCTACTCTCATGAAAGCCTTGCTGCCATTCTCCTTCAGAATATCTTGTGTTGTTCCGTGAGTAAGTATATTAGTGTCATCTGCATAGCATGTAAGGCTAAAATTTGCATTTCTTGTTGTTTGACTAATATCGTTTAAGTAGATGATAAAAAGTAGTGGCCCAATGATACTGCCTTGAGGTATACCAATATTCAATTTTTGTATACTGGACTTACTAATCTTTTCGTCTTTTCTCACAATAACTTGTTGTTCTCTATTTGTCAAGTATGATGTAATCCATTTGAGTGCTGGACCTCTTATTCCATATTTTTCGAGTTTTATTAGTAGTAAATGGTGGTCTAAAGAGTCATATGCTTTTGATAAATCAAGAAATATACCCACTGCCAGATCTTTATTTTCCAGATGTTGTATTATTGATGTAGTGAAATCGAACAATGCAGTAATGGTACCTTTCTCCTTCAAATACCCATGTTGTATATTCTGAAACAGTTTACAACTATTCATGAAAGTTAATATTCTGTTTGCAACTATTGTTTCAAATACTTTTGAAAAGCTTGGCAGTAAGCTAATTGGTCTATAATTATTCAAATCAGAGTGATCTCCTTTTTTGTAGATTGGTTTAATAAATGCCAACTTCAGCCTGTCTGGGAAGATCCCATATTTTAGCGAATTGTTAATGATATAGCACAAGATATCATCAACATATTTCAAACAGAATTTTACTATAGATGTTGGAACCTCGTCCACACCGCTGCTATGTTTATTTTTTAGACTTTGACCAATTTTTTGAATTTCCTCTATATTCACAGATTTCAGTCGCATTGACTCATTGTTCTCACTTATGTTACAGATGAATGGTACTTTCCTAATACTGGACAATATATTTGGCACAACACTGATTAAGTGATTGTTGAATTCATTTGCTAGAACTAGTGGGTCTTGATCTATAAAACAATCATCCTTTGGGGAATTTTTACCAGTTGTTTCCTTGCAGATTGACCATAAACACTTCATTTTGTTATCAGATGATTTCACTCTTGCGTCATACTTGTTAGCTTTTTCCTTAACTAATAATCTGTCATATTCTTTCTTTGTGGCTCTGTAAATATCTTTATATTGATCGTTATATCTTGATAGCATTAGTAGTGTGTCTAATCTCTCTTTGCATTCTGTTATTTCCTACTTTTGTATATTGATGTTTTCTTTCTTGTTTTATACACAGGTTTAAGTGGAAAGTGTTGATCAAAAATGCGGTGAAAGGTATTGCCAAAAATTTTCCATTGTTCATTGACATCAGATGTTGGTATCTGATATATTTCCTCCCAAGTTTCTTCCTTTAATGTGTCCGCAAATTGTTTTTTATTTTCCTCTCTGAAAGTTCTTTTGAAGTTTTGATAACCTATTTCTTTTTTAATATGGATTGTAACTTGTTGAGCAGTGTGGTCTGATATATGGTTGATTAGCACACAAGCTTCATAATTTCCTTATTTGTAAAGATGTTGTCAATACAACTACCTCCAGTGTTTGTAATTATAGTATTTTCAAAAATTGTTCTTTTTAAATTGAAAGAACACATTATGGACAGAACGTCTAGTGCATTGCTGCTTTCTTCATTGAAATTTATGTTAAAATCACCTGCTAGAAATATGGTTTTATTTTCAGTTGTTATGTTTAACAGTAATTGTTCTATTTTTTCCAGAAACACATCCATACTTCCACTTGGAGGCCTATAAATTGAGGCAATTATAAATTTTTCATCTCCAATTTTACAGTCCATTACTGCACATTCAAATATACCTTGATCTGATAGTTTTTGAAGAGATTTTCTTTCAAAGCTTGTAATATCCTTTCTCACATATACGGCAGCACCACCGTGTTGACCATTTCCTCTGCAGAAAGATGCAACCAAATTAAAATTGCATATGTCCAATTGCTGAAGTTGATCCAAACTTTCCCAGTGTTCTGTTATGCACCGAAATACACAATCACTGTTCTCTGCTAATACATTCTCAATTTTGTCTATACTGTTTCCTAATGATTGTACATTTTGATGTATGATACTAAATTTTTGGTTTTGGTGAATTACTGAGAATCTGTTATTACATGTAGTATCTATCCCTGTTTCTAGTAGAGGTGTATTCTTCTTTATAAAAAAGAATTTTGATTATAGTTCTTCTGGCGTCGGAAGTCATATCTCTTAATACCTACATTTTTAGGCCAAAAACTAGGGTCATACATTAAGGTTTTCTTTTCATAGGGGGCGGTGACCACAAAACATTTGTTTTGGGTTTCTGTTGTTGGTAATTCTTTAACATCAATATTTAATTCATTAAAGCCTGGTTTTGCTCTTATATAGTTATAAATCTTTTCAATAGTGACAGCCCTCTGTATACGATATAGGTATAGCCAAACTTTTCTAGCGACTCCTTCAAAGCCATTGGAATCGTCTTCATTCGTGCCTAGTTGTTTAGTGATACTTCTGGTGTTGTTGTTCCTTGGTTGAATTTTCCTATTTTTCCTTTTATGCTGCATTTCCCACTTTCCATCATGATCCTCATTAGCCAGATTAACTATATTGTCCATTTTAACATTAGCTATGACCTTCTTTACGTCTTGAGTAGATATTTGTTTACTATCGTTGACGTTTGGATTTTTGGTTATGTTAACATCTACATCTCCGTTCTCTTCTTGGTTGGCTGTTTGTAGTTCAGCAGTAACGGCCTGCTCACGGTGATGTTCTGCCATTACTTTTAGCGATGAAGATATAGGTGCTTCTTGCTCCATAAATCGAATGATATTTTTTGCACTTGTTGATGGGTTATTTACCTTTTTTGCTCTCGGTTGATTCTCTTTATCGTGAGAAAATTTTGTTAATGTGACCTCTAAATTGCTTATCTTTTCTCTTAGTAATATATTATTTTCTTCCAGATATTTATTTTTACCTTCTAGCTCTTCTATTATTTTGAACAATAACGCTTCTCTTGATGCCCATTCGAATTCACTTTTATTAGATTGACCCGTCTCTGCTAGAGATTCATGAATACAGGTTGGGTTTTTTTGTTGATTCGCCTGTTTCAAACAGCTGGGGTGGAAAATCCCAGAGCACTTCACACAAACTAATTTAGTTGTTGCTACAATTTTTTTGCAGTGAATACATACGTATTCCTTATTTTTAATTGGGAGCTCGTGCGAGCGACTTGCACTAGCCGCCATCTTACCAACTATCCTATAGATATCATAGATAATGCATAGACAGTGGCTTCCTCTCTGTTCTTTGCTTTATTTGGTGGACACAATTTGTAGTTTACTGAGTAATGCAAGCTGAAATCCGCCGCTAAACATATGGCGGTAGACACGGTGACGGATTCAAGGATATTCAGTGTCCATCCACATAAAACCAGGCCTGCTATTGTTATAATTATACTAAAAGTGATAGTAATTATAGCGAGGATGCTAATAAGGGGATTCAGTGTAGATATAAATAAAACTGCAGCTGCCAGTACCATGGATACAAATATAGAAATCTTTGTACTTCTGCCTAGTTCATTTTGTTTTTGTAGATCATAGAAATGCAAGTCACTGACAAAAAATCCATTTTTCGTGGAGGCTGGTGCAGTACTCAACTCTTCTTTTGTCCACGAATCTACGGTGTTATAAAATTGTTTAACTTCCTCATACGACAGAGAAAAACTAATGTTGCTGTCAAATTCGACAACAACAGCTTTTATTGTTGGTACATTCTCCTTGGAAAACATAACACCGGATGTTTTTGAATATATTATATCTGGAGGTCCACCGTATACCTCAGCCATCTCATCCATTATGCACGTATTAAATACCGTTCCGTTAAAAGGGAACTCGGAAACGTCACAACATGGAGAACGATCTCTCTGCGTAAAGTCATCTATACATTTCCTGGTCATACTCTTCGCAAAAGTCTCGATGAAACAACTAGTTAAAGAAATACCTATTACAGGCTGATAGAATTACTGTTGTCTAAAGTTCAAACAAAAATTTCTCAGCCATTCCTGGGACCCAGCCATATCAAAATTCAAATCATATTCTACTACACCTAAATCTGATGGATTATCAACTGATTTCACTTCAAATACAAATCTTAAATCTTAATTGTAGTTTGTAATCATTTACCCATTCACCCTAAAATCATATAATTGGATATTGATTTCATAAATATATACAGGATGAGTCAATAAAATAAAATAGATTTAAGTCTACTATTATAGTGTCGTAGCAAACAAAAAATCTACTTTAGTTAATTATTGCCCGGTATTTTTTTTAATTTTTATAACAAATATAAATTTAGTAAATATTCGTTTCATTTTAGAATATAAGTTTACTCACCTTGTCGCGTTTAAACCAGAACTTATCTTTATACATAAAGTCATATTTTTCAAAAAGGTGATCTGAAGAAAACAGTTGGAAATCTCTTGAGTTTGGAAGTCTGAGCCTGGGATAAACAAACACGACCACTGTTGGAAAGCCAACGCTAATATTGTGAAAAGTAACGTCCAGAAGTATTTTAAATTAATTATAGTTTTTGTTAGAAATTGTTTTTCCCTTTCCATGCAGCACCTTGACATAAGTAAATGCTTTAAAATGTATGTTATGTATTTTTTACAAACTTACTTAAACATTTACAAAAAGTTGGTGATAGATTCCATATGGATTTGAAACAGCACATTAATTGACCTAAAGCAGCCACCAAGTAACACCGGCAAACATGTCTTGAGACACAAAATTGTTCCCATATTACTATTCCTGCTGGAGATAGAGAGAGAGAAACCAAGTTATCATAAGAAAGAAATTTACAATTATGGCAGTTCCAGCAAATATACTAGAAGAAATGTATTAGTTTATGAACATACATTCCTTATTTAGTAGCAAGTACCTAAAACAATTAATTGCTGTTACACAACTGACATAAGATCCCGAAAAAGCTACGGCAGTTGTCAACATTGATACAAACATTGACGTAAAGGCATGATAACAAGTTTTGGACATAATTACAGAAATATTATTTTCATTAGCCTAATCTTTTTTGTTGACTTGCCAAATTTTACAAAATATAAAAGTATCATCTGCTCCAATACCTGAAAATTTTCAAATAAACTCACATTGAAATATCAATAGAGATTTAGACATACCAATGCATATAACTAGTGTCAACATATTCATAAATGGAAAGAAAGAAATTTCATATACAACATCGTATAAAAAATAAGTGATAGCCATTGTGAATACAATAGCAATTATTGTCATGATCGTTAAGAAGAATGAGGCTGTATATATCCATATACAGATGAATATGAACACAATTCCCATACCCATAAGCCAAGTATCTCTTAACAAATACTCATCAAATATAAACTAGCTGAACTCGCAGCAATAGAAACAAATATTATAGTTTCTTTTAAAATATGCCCTTCATTTTTGTTATCTTTCAAGAAAAAATCAAATGACGTTATATTTAGTAAAATATTTAATTTTAACTCACTTCTGGAGGATGGAATGAAACGCTAGTTAAAAAATTTAATATGTTATACACAGCATCAAATTTTAAGCACTCCAAAGGAACTTCACAATCCCTTTTTCGAAAACATCTCATGTAAAGTTCATTACTGTGAAAATACTGTGCACATCTTTCTAGAATGCCTTTGGTTTTATTAACGTGACTTTCCTAAAAAATTGGGAAAATTCTCTTTGTATATGATTAAATCCAGAAAAGTATAAATATACCTGAATATTCAAACAATTTTTTCTGTTATGCAAAGCTGCTATATAGTTAGGTAAAATCCAGGGTCTGCAACAGATTCCTGAATTTGAAATACACAAGCTAGGAACATTTTTTAAATAGATTAGACTATTTTCAAGAGTGCACAGTGATTTTATACGCTTCCATGTAAATAGATCCTGATTGTTCACAGTACTTACAACAATATGTACATATTTTTCATCTATAATAAATTATTAATTTCTTTACATTAAGTGTTAAAAAGTTAAAAACAAATACCATGGGGGCCACAAAAGTGTTTCTCATAAACTCTATGTTTATTGTTTTTGTTGGTAAAGTTTTGTAGGTAATCTAGCCCAAACTTAGTAGTTTCTGTTGCATTTTTTTAATACGTGATTACCTAAGGAAACATTAAAAATAATTAATAATTTATGTTGCTATGTATTTTAACTTACTTTTCCATAAACAGTTTCATTTCTTGATTCATATTCAACATAATTGTTCTGGCCAAATAATCTATCTCTATTGTTTTTATTTTTTCTTCTCCCTTCTGTAGAAACGAGGTTCGTTTAAAAAAGAATTATTCATGTTCATATGCATTAAGTATTCCTTAGGGTTTTTAGTTAAATATCCCGAAGGCCTACATTCTTCCTCTAAATTTTGCCATGTTGTTAACCGATTTGATATTAATGTACCTCTAGTTTACCTTTAGAAACCCTATAGATTATAATTATGCAGAATGAGTGTTTTTTATATTAAAATAAAAATACAAACCATTTGGGGGTCCTAAAACTTTGGTAGGGCTATTTTTTTTACTGTAAAGGGTTGTGTTAAACAAGTACAAGAAAATACTGAAATTGCAAGCAACACAATATATGTATGTTTGATTAGAAAATTTGTGTACCATGTTTGATAATTCAATTTGTTTTACTGTTATTATTAGGGCTCTGTCTTGTTTTCATTTTGTTCTCCTCACTAAAAAATAATCAAACATAATTTGTGATTAATCATGTGAAAATTAACTTATAATGATAATTCTAACACAAAAGGTCACATGTACTTACAAAATATAACACATTGTAACGTTTTTAGTTCGTTACATGTCTTTTTTATATATAATATATGATGTCTGGCCTATCATCACCGGATTCCCTCTCGTTCAGGCCGGATAGTTTATTTGACGCGTAATTTTTACGTTCCCTAGTCGCCAACCCTGTTATCGTTCGACACAACCCTGTTATCGCTATGAGGAGGCGCTGTCAACATCGCTTCTGTCAACTCTCTCCGTGCTTAACCTTTGTTTTGACGCTCTGTTGTATCCCAGCTTTTAGAAATGGTGATTATTTAAAATCTTGCTGTATAATTTGAATCAGCTGCTATTTCGACGCTACAGGTAAAGATGAGTTATTACCTTTTATAGATTCGATATTATTATTGAACATTTTAAGGGTAGAGTTACGGATGTCCCAACTTGTATTTGTATTTTGCTGGCACGTTGGCGTCCCTTTTCTTTTGTCCTCCAGAATGTTACATGGAAGAAAGGACAGGTTGTTTATTATTTATTGAGCCCTCGGAAGTATTTCGAGGTAGGTTTATTTTGTTTATTAGACCTTGTTTGGTTTTAAACAAGAGTTTCATATTTTTAGGGTCCAAGGTACGGACTGTGTCCAAGATACGGGTAGTGTCTTGTGTACGGACATTATCTTATGTACGGATGTCCTGTGGACGAATGTCTCCAGTAAGAATGATTTTTTCTTACATATAAGTGCCACAGCGTGGATGTAGCTTGAGTCCCATGCTGCTTCGTTCCCAGATATAAGCTAGTTAGTTATGGCTGTATAAATTCATGGTGTCCTCATTCTGGCCCCTTTGGTTGTGTTGGATGGCTGAGTACAGAGATGCGAGACCACCTCACGCTGTTACTGTTTAAAGCAGGATTGCATAAAGAACGGCTAAGTGTAGATTTAAGTTATAGTTTTGCATTTAACATTTAAAACATTTACAGTCTTAAATAATACCGTATAGACTATGTTGAGTGGTTTGTTAAGAACATTCATGTCGATTTAGTAGTTAAAATATAATTTAGATCTTAGGTTTCATTGCATTATGTCTTGTAATAGTATTACTTTTTTATAGATATTATTATTGCACTCTAATATCATATAAAATATATCAAATTAATTAAAGTAATGAAATTACAATTATTGTATTATATATTAGCAATTATTATATATTAGCAAATTAATTAAGAAATGCTACATTTCATACATTCTCTTAAACTTTACATGTCTTGTATTTTATCATAGTCGTTTTCATAGATATTTAGTACAACTCTTACCACCACTTTCTTTGACATATAACCACTATATATATTTACTAGAACTCTACAATGTCATGTACCAGCAAAGAACATCATGAGTAAATATAGTCATTAGTTTTAGGTAACATACAACTGTGTTTTCTTTCTCTGTACATGCCTGGCGCCCAATATCTATTTTTTTGTTTATTGTTCTTAATTAGTTTTCTTTCCAGTGAAATACCTTCTCCACGACTGCTCTCCGATGAAAAGCTGCCGTTCGCAGTGGTAGTTGTTTAAAAAACGCTACACATTATTTGGCACCCATAAGCGTGGGGCTTTGAGAAATTTTTACTCGTAACATTTCACTGGAGTCTGACAATTTTCCTAAGTAATTTTCTGACATTAATTTTTGTAGTTTAATTTTTTTTGGCATGATACAGAGGAGGAAACAGTTGTTGTTTTCTTGGTACGATTTAAGACTGAAATTTTTATTCTCTTTCTTATTTTTGATATTTCTATTTATTATTATTTGGGTCTATGGAATTTGGACAATTTCATATAACGGAGATGTGTCAGCTGTGTGTTTTGATATTTTTGATATTTTGATATATTTTTGAACCTGGTATACAGGGCGGTCAAGATTTAATGCTTGGACCTGAAATTTCTTTGGGGTTAAAATTTTTTTTAATAGTTGTTTAAAATTTTTTCTTGGTAGATAAATTTGAAAGTTTATCTATTGTTGGGACTTCCTTATACAGGGTGGTCAATACTTTTTTGTGACTTTGAAATTTTTTAAATTTCAAGGTGTTCGACATTTGATAAAGTTTGAAACTTTATATTTACAGACATTTTGGTTTGTATTTTTCTCTATACAGGGTGGACAAGCATTAAATTTTCGACTTTGATATTTTTATATCTCTAGGTATTTGAAATTTGATATAAATTTTAAATGTTATTCTTAGCTGAGATTACTATTTTATAATTTTACTATACTGTGTGGTCACAACTTGATCATTTTGATTTTGTTTGTGTTGATTAATTGATTGCAATTAATTTTACAAGTTTTTGTGATTATCGATAATTGTTAGGGCGAGCTGCTAAACTTACATTTAGTGTTATTTTTATGTACGTTAGGGTAAATCTCATCTCGTTTATTGTTTAGTTTACCTTCAGGTTTCTACGCCAATGTTTTTTATACCAATTTTTTATTTATTTAGTATCGCATTCACTATGTTTCATAATCTGAACCTTCAGTGTTGTCAGTTACTATCGACAGTTGTTAGACTGTCCTGTTTGGTACTTTAGGTACATTTTAAGTTTTTGGTTGTTATGACAGTTATACTAGGACTGTTATGTTGATACAGGAAGTGTATCCTTTGAGTTTTTTTGAGTGTATGACGAGGGATTATATTTGATACGTGAGGTATTGTTTTGTTTTCTTTTGACAGCTGTCTATGTACGTGTCAAAGGAATGTTTGGTACTTGTTCTGTTATGATTGTTGCCGAAAACCTTCATATTCAGACATTTACCGTTTAGTTATTTAATGTCAGGAGGACATTAAATTTTTTGCAGTGTTGCCGACGACATATGCGGTGAGCATTTGTCGTATTTATGGTTTACAGTTACACACTAGGATGCTACTGTGAACATTTTGGTTGTTAATGATTTTTTTTGGAGACGTCCAAGATCATTAACGTGTTGTCATCATTTGATATGATGAGTTTTTGAGTTATTTGAGCGATTTAGTGCTTGTGACTCAAGTTTATGGATGATTGACGTTTGACATCTCTGTTTTCGGATTCTGTTGCCTGGTTTTAATAGTTTTTACTAGATCTGATAGCCAATGCAATGTTTCCGAAGAACTATATCTGTGTCAAAACGAGTCAATAGTTTGAGTTTAGTTGGAGTTCTAGTTTTCTCTGTTTATTTGAAGAGATATTTTTTGATGACACTTGTGTCAGGTTTAGATCTTTTTGTATTGTGAGATATTTTTGTCTTGGTGACATCTATATCATTTTTAGTTTTTTTTAGTGAATTTTGGCAGTGTCTGTATGGAATATGCAGATGCATTGAGTTTTTTAGCGGCCTGCATAGCGAGATGATGATTGCTCTGTTTTATTAGTTTTTCTGGTTTTTTAGTCCAGGTGTATTGTTTCGCGAGCAATTACACCACTTTTTTGGTTTAGAATAACTGTCAGTGAAATAGTTGTTAGTTTGTTTTTTGCCTGATGAGTTGTCATAGAGAAAATTTCATCATTTTAGTCCCTTATGTATTTTTGTAGTTTAGTTTAGCTCGTTAGTTTTATTTGGCCCTACAGTTTACTTGCGTTTAGCAATTGTGTGTGTTTTTTTTGAGTCTGGCTTTGAGCAGTGTCGTGTTTGACATTTTTGTGATTTTTGACTTTACAGTTTTCTGTAAGTCTTTGAGTTTGTTTGATTGTCATTTTTAGATGTATTTTTTTTAGTTTCGATCTATGGCTATGACCTAGCCTATGGTCGTGGTTTGGGCCGTGTGGCCCGTATCCGCTCTATATGGTGGGCGAGTTGAGTGTGCTACTGGTTAGTTGCATGCTCAACAGTAAAGAATAACCATGTACGGGTTCCTTGTGACGGTAAGAGTCCGTCAAATGCCACCGTAGTATGTGATAACTCTCAGAACATCGAGAGTGTCGGAAATTCTTTCCGTACACCTTATCCACATACTACGGATATAATATTATGTATGTGATGTTACGTATATGGTGCTACGTATATGGTATTGCGTGTGTGGTGTTATATGGGTGATGTTGCGTATGTGGTACTACGTGAATAGTATTACGTATGTGGTATTACGTGTATAGTATTACTTTATCGTAATACCTATTTAATAGGTTTTACCTTGGTAAGTAAAACTTATATTTATTCATTTTATTAAATTGATTTGATTGACATACCTGGTTGGGGTTCCGTCGCCATTTGCTTGACAGGGCGTTGACCTTCCGTCAACTACCCTAGGCGATGCGTATTTTGTTTTTTCTTTCTTTCTGAGCTAAGGCTCAGAAAGTTTTTAGTAGACATTATAACGAAATTCCAATTTAGGCAAATACAAATTTACTGAAAATTTAAAAACTGATAAGATGTTTCTGGGCAGTGGTGAGGAATAAGAATTCAGCCCTTTAAACATATTTGCTGTCACTTTACTGTCATATTAAGGAAAATATTATTTTTTCTATCTCTTTCTAAAATTTAAAATGGAAATCAAATGATCTAATGATATATCAATATTAGCAATCCTCAAGGTTGTATAAATAATTACTTAGTATTTAAAGTTATAGTACAATAATATATGGTAATTAATATGAATTTTAACTGTAAAATAGTAATCTGAACCTAAAATATATGAAGTAAAAACTTACACGTTTTTACTACATTATGGTGAATACGCTAGGATATACCAGAGGGATATATACCATGGTACAAAGAAAACAAGGTATGATCGATAGCGGCTCCAATTTCGTTAAGTTTGCGCATACCACCTGTGACGTCATATGCCATACAAAAAAAAATCCATATTGTTCAATTGCCACTAATAAAAAAAGACCTAAAATAGGGAAGAATTAGGATATAACCCCAAAAGTTATGTCAAATCATCGATCTTGACATTTGAAAAATTATTTTCACATTTATTGTGTCATCTATTTGACAATTTGAAATTGGCGCGCGGAGCTTGCTGACGAATGGTGCCGTTTATCACCTGTGACGTAGTGACCAACCTGCGCAATATCATACCTTGTATTCTTTGTATCATGGATATATACCGTATGATCGAATAAAAAACGGCGTCAGCAATGGCTATGAAATGACAATCGATGACATTTCCCATATAAATTCACATATAAAATGACAGCGATGTTCATTTCATAGCCATCGCTGACACCGTTTTAATTCGATCATACGGTACTTTTTAGATACGTTTAATTATAATTAAAAATATTTTTAAGGGTTGATGCATTGTTAGTGTACCCTCTAGTTGCCAATAAAACAGAATGATAAAGATACAAATAAATGAACAGGGTTAATTTCTTTTGAGAAGGCTTCAGAAATGTACGAGTACTGTATGAAATATAAATATTCTGTAGCAGACGGGGGCAGTATTTACTTTAAAAGGGAAATTAAACACAAAAAGTGTTACGTAAGTGTTTGTTACACCGTTGCCGGTAGCAGTAGATACCGTATGATCGAGAAAAAACGGCGTCAGCGATGGCTATGGAATGAAGATCGCTGTCATTTTAGGGTGTTTCACATTTATATGGGAAATGTCATAGATGTTCATTTCTCAGCCAACTGGACGCTGTTTTTTTTCGATCATACGGTACATGGTAGATACTAGCTGTGATACTAGATACTAAGTTTTGTACTGCATATGACATCAGAATTGGATTATCCAATTAATTATTATTAATTATCCCGGGGCGGCGAAGCTGAATGTGACGTATGTATAATGGTTGACAAAATTCAAGTATTTATACAGGGTGTCCCAGGCAGAGCCTGCGTTACAAGTTTCTAGAAAACTACAATATCTAGATACGAGATTTTGTGCATATCATTGTTTCATAACGAGATCTATCGATTAAAAATATTTTCAATATGGCGGCACTTTCGGAAGTACCGGAAGTTGACAGCAACTTCCTTATTTTAAATGGGTGACCCCATTTTTTATTACATACTTAAATTCTCTGTAAAATTTTATGAATTTGGATATTAAACACTCTATACCTAACGTTAACCGTTTTTGAGAAAAAAAAATATTTATAATTTTTGCAGGAAAAAAACTGCCTGTCAAAAATATGTATATAGCCTAAACGTCAAATTTAGTGATTGCCACAGCCACTGTACCATATAAAGAGAAAACACGTGGCTATATATGTCTAAAATTAAATTGAGCGATTAAAAAATTATCATAAATAATTTTCTTTTTCAAATGGAAATCCGCTTTTTTTATTTCACTCGTGAAAATGCTTTCCTTACTTTTGTTTTTAAAATTTGTTACTTTTTGACTATACATGTTCCTGTAGGTATCTAAAATAAATCGTCTTTAAGTTATTTAAGATTTAGCTTTAAAGCGTATATGTTTCTTGATTTTAACCAGAGGCCTATGACGGTATATTATTATCGATCATCATTTCCAAGCTAACTTTGCGCTGTTTTTTTTTCGAACTTACGGTATATTATTAAAATTTCAACTATTAGATATCACTAAAGGACGAAAATACGGAGATATATTTATATAAATACACTTTATAAAATTTTAAGGCAGCTGTATAGTTATAATATAGGAAATTCAAATAAATTATTTTCTGACAAATGGAAATAAATTGTCTGACTTTTTGACACATGTTAAAGGAAGCTAGATAAAATCAAGAAAAATATACGTTTTCAAACTAAATCTCAAATAACTTCTTAAAACGATTTATTTTAGGTATATGAATATGTCTAGTTAAAACGTAACGAATTGGAAAACCTTTTCACTAGTGAAATGAAAAAGTGGGTTTCCATTTGACAAAAAAATATTTATGATAATTTTTTAATCGCTCAATTCCATGACAGCTACCGCCATTATTATATGACATTTGAACAATTTAATTTTGGAAATAGATAGCCACATGTCTTTTCTTTATGTGGCTGTGATAATCACTAAATTTGACTTTTAGGCTGTACAAATTTTTTTGACAGGTAGTTTTTTTCCTCCAAAAATTTTAAATATTTTTTTCTTAAAAATGCTTCCAGGGAAATACCGCGAAAAAATATCGCGATTTTGTAAGTCCTCCAAGATTCGAGGGGCCCCTTCGCTGTCTCAGGCCCGTGGCCCCCGTTATACTAAAGACTTCACTGCTCATCATCAGTAATGAAGCTAGACTACATGTTATGCTGTGCATTGGTTGTAATTTAAAATGTTTATTCAGTAAAAATAAATATTGAAACCATTGAAACATAACTTAAAAGCTAAAATAAATAAATTCAGTCTCAAAATATATAAAAAAATAATAATTAGTCAATATTTTAAAAAAAGAAAATTACCCCTTGATTTAATTTCCTAAATAGAAAATGCCATTGTCAATTACTGGGGCCTGATAATTGATAATTAAATAAATATCTGCTTCCATTTATACTCTTTATAGCTGGCGTATACATATGGTTTGCATACTCCACCTACAAACTGCTTTATAACTACTGAACACATATTGGCCTTGTTTGCCAGTTGAATAAAAATTACTTATTAAGAGTCGGAGGCCCCCTATTAAGACGGGGCCCGGAGCGGACCGCCCCTTCCGCCCCCCCTAGTCCGCCACTGTTACACACTTTGGCATTACTACGTTTTGGCATTATTAAATGCTTAATTTTATTAGTAAAATTAAATATCTATTATATACTGATACTTCCAAAGCAATTTACCCATTGCCTGTTACTTATAAAATTATAAATTAGCATGAGCTAAAGTCTCTCCAGTGAGTCAAAGGTAGATTTCGACAGGTGACATACAAAAAATGACAGGAAATAAGAAAAAAAATGTGAGTTAAAATGAGGTACAACTGTCACTGGAATGGATTATTAGACAGACTTATATTCATAAAGCTCACGGAATCATTACAAGATAAGGACACAAGTATTCACAATTCACACTCACGAGTGCCCTGAAAACAAAAAAATTGACCTGATAGATATAGGTACTTTTGAACAATGCCGGTTTAGTAGACATGTGACATCGTAACGATTAAAATATTAAACAAAGTTAAGTTGTTTTTACGTTTATTATTATTTTCCGGCTTCAATTCCGGTGTGAACCCCCGGGATACCTTAAGAACCCAGACATGAATCCTGGATGGTACTTATTGTTAAATTAAGATATTGCTAATTGCTATATTCCTGGGTGAAATTTTAAAAGTCGAGGGATTTCTTGAACAGAACATTGCTAAAACAAGAGCTTTATTTTAAAAAATGGCGTATGATAATAACAGCAGAAGAAGCAATTTTGTACATGGGTCGACTGGGGTCTAGCCGGGCGGTTTTTTCAATTATAAACTCTATTTGGCTTAGCACAGATTGTTGTGTAATCAGTTTAGCTCGTTACGAAGCGCGAGCACTCGACAGTGAACTACATCCAGAAATAACTAACTAAAGCCAACCTAAACCTTAACTGGAGTAGAATAATTGCATTTTGGAGTTCCAGACCTCGCCGTTGTTACATCGTTATTCACAAATATTATTCATTTTGCCATTTCCCATTCTCTTTTCCTTCCCGCTTTCCATTATGTCTTATTTAAAATCTCATCTTTATTTAAATTCGTTTTATTGTTCCAAATTTGTCCTGTTATTGATATATTTAACGTTATTTTTATATTAATCATATTAAGCCAACACATGCTCTCAGTCTTATTGCCATATTTTTGCAGTGTCCATACATACATCTTAACTCTAATTTCAAAACTAACAATAGATTCATGGAATTCCGAAACTGTTCTAGTATCTCCACACATTGGTAGTTAGACGACTTCATGGAAAAATCTGGGGCCTCAGACCACAGATGGTGCACTGGCTGTACAGTAGGGTGGAGCGAAAAACAATGAATTTTCAAAAATTCGCTTGAGCACTTAGCACTAGGTATATGCTAAAAGTTGTCTTTATAGTAGCAAATTATGAGTAATATTTTTCATTTTTTTTTTGACCTTGATATCACACCCCGCAATGACCTTGATTTTTTTTTTTAATTTTTTTTAGAAGATAGCACTATGCGCTAAAAGTTGTTCAAATAGTAGTAGATCATCCATGAATTTTTTCAAAATTTTCTTATACTCCCCTCATGGCCCGCAATGACCTTAAGATATGTTCAGTTTTAAATTTATAGACAATTTCCTCAATCTCGAAGAATGCAGCTCTTCGCTAGTTTCCTCAACTACCCAGAACACACCAAGGGGAGG